ACTGTACATTTCTTCAGATTGGCTGTTAGCCTGGCCCTTCTCAAGTCTTGCATTACTGCTCTCAGTGCAGTTAAATGTCCAGCCCAGTCTTCAGTGTATATAATAATATCATCTATGTAATCCATGCCATAACCCCCATGGAGAGCCAAAACTCTGTCCATTAGATGCTGAAACATAGCAACGGCTCCATGTAATCCAAACAGCATGCACCGGAATTAGAAGAGACCCCAAGGGGTGGCAAATGCTGTCTTTTCTTGATCTTCAGGTGCTACTGGGACCTGCCAGTAACCTCTTGTCAGGTCCAAAGTGGAAATGTAGTGAGCTTGCCCATTGTTTTCCACCAGCTCATCTACTCTCAGCATTGGATAGGCATCAAACTTAGCCACTGCATTTACCTTCTGGAAATCAATACAGAGACAAATTTTCCCATCTGGCTTCGGCACTACTACAATGGGGCTCTGCCAGTCACTGTGGGACTCACATATTATGCCTTTCTCCAGCATCATCTCAATCTCCGTTTTTATCTGACTCTGTAGTCACTGTGGAATCCATCTCCAGTTCTCATGGATCACCTGGCCCAGAGGAGTTTTTATTTGATGTACCACACCCCGAGCTTCCCCAGGAGTTTCCTGGAACACATCTCAGTATTCCCTGACTAGCTTGGCGACCTCCCTTCGCCGCTCTTCAAATAGTTGTGGGGCCAGTTCTATGTCACCCGGTCCATTTCCTTCTGTCAAAGAGGGTCCCAATTCTAATTCCTCAGGATAAAGGGCCAGGTACATATGCTCTTGCTCTTCCTGCTTCTTCAACATATTGAGATGGAATACTTGCTGCTTTTTTTGTTTGTCTGTCTGATACACCTCATAGTCTATGGGCCCCATCTGGTGCATAATTTCATAGGGTCTCTGCCACCGGGCGAGTAACTTACTTTCATGGTCAGGCAATAGAACCAACACATGGTCCCTCAGGTCAAATTTCCTTTCCCACGTGCCTTGGTTAAAATGCATCACTTGTCATTTCTGGGCCTCTCTGAGATTTCCTAAAACTTCTCTCTGAGCTGCTTCAAGGTGTTCCCGCAGTTGTATTACGTATTGGATCAAGTTCTGATCTTTGCTATGCTACTCTTCCCAACTCTCTTTAATCAAATCTAGGATTCCTCTTGGTTGCCGGCTGTACAATAGTTCAAAAGATGAAAACCAGTTGAGGCCTGGGGTGCTCCCCTGCGGTAAATAACAAAGGTGGTACCATTTTATCTCAGTTCTGAGGACTCTCAACCATGAATTTCTTTAACATCTGCTTCAACGTCTGATTAAACCACTCCATGAGCCTGTCTGTTTGGAGATGATACACTGCTGTCTTTAGGTGTTTAATTCCCAAAGCTTTACTCACTTCTTCGAACATGCGTGATATAAAATTCATTCCCTTGTCTGTCAGCAGTTCTCTAGGGAGTCCTACTTGTGAGAATGTTTTCAATAGCTCATTTGCCACCTTTGGAGCAGACACTGTCTGCATCGGCACAGTTTACAGTTACCCACAAGGTAGGCAGACTCAGGCCCAGCCCGCCTACCAGTGGCATGCCGCGGATGGGCACTCGCTGCACCCTGAGGGTCCCCTCTGGGTCTGTGACCCCCATGTCTGGCACCTCAGAGACCGCCACCTAGACAGAGCCCATGGTTCCGGGCTCCATGCAGACAGAGCCCCTGGCTCTTGGCTGCGGGGGCTGCCTGTCCCTTTTTCAGGCTCCGGGGCCCGGGAGCATGGCTACCTCCCCTTGTGGGGTCTGCTCCCTTTTGGGGTCTCTGGCGTACCAGCTGGAAGAGCTCCAGGCCACAGTCCAGAGACTGTGCGCCATCAGGGACTGTGAGCAGGAGATCAACTCCTACTGCCAGGCCCTTCTCCCCTGGGAGCCAGAGGGTAGACCACTGTCTCCCTCCAGGACAAGGGAGGACTCCGGGACCTCCCATTCAGTCCAGTCAGGGGGATGGACCAAGGTGGTCAAGGGCCCCAAGGCCCGCTTCACCAAGGCCCCTGCCCTGCCAGAACTTAGCAACAGGTATGAACCTCTTGCAACCCCAGCAGAGCCTGCTGAGTTGCCGGCTCCCACAGGCAACACAGGCTTAACTGCAGCTACTGCCCCTGTTCTCCCCAAGACAGAATGTAAAGTGTTTGTTGGGGGAGACTCCATCCTGAGGGGGACTGAGGGGGTAATCTTCCGCCCCAACCCCTTAGCCTGGGAAGTCTTCTGCTTCCCAGGGGCTTGCATCCGAGACATTGTGGAGAAGATCCCTAAGCTCCTGCAGCCCACTGACCACTATCCCATGCTCCTCATCCATGTGGACACCAATGACACGGCTCAGAGCGCTCCCAGCTGGGTCCTGAGGCACAACAGGGATTTGGGAGTGGGGCTAAAGGGTCTGGGGC